GAAACACCTTTTGCTGGTCTGCTGGTAAGTTATGGTTTCTGCCCTACAGCGTGAATAGACCAGTAGCCCACACTGTGGCCTAAGACAGTCTCATGAGTCTGAATATTTAGTTGAACCTAGAAAGACCCTTTTGTGGGTGTAGCAACTACCTTATTTGTATGTTGTAGTTTAGATAATAGTGCCTCCATGCCATACTCAAGATCTCTGGGTTGACTTCTTAATCAAAATATTTTCCAATAATGTTTTTGCTAATGGGGGATAGGGAGAGGAGGAATCCATTCTAACCTCCCAGTGATCTTGTGTATCCAGAATAGTACAATATTCTTTCTGTGGTGGTAGTTTTGCCTGCATCAATATGAGCCATAATTCCAATATTACGGATTCTGTTTAAAAGGGAGAAAAAAAAGATATGTGTTATCAGGTGGACATTACTAAAACTGTAAAGCCCAAATATGCTGTGCAAATTTTGAAGCTGGTATAAAAACTAGAAAAATAGAAAATATATCACAACCACAGTATTCTGACAAAATAAGTGTCAAAAGAACTAACTACAATCTTATAAATATCTTATATTTATTTCTATGAAAAGTGTGCTCTTCCTCCATTAAAATTTTTTTTTCAATTGTGAAAATAGCTTCTAAGATACATAACATGTACTTATAAAAAGGTAGGGCAAAAGTAACAGAAATGAGAGCATTTACTAACAATGCTGATTAATGATTAAGCCCATGAAGAAACCTGTAACTTTTCATGGTAGCCTATGTAAAAGACAATATCAATGAAAAGACAATACTTACTTAGCTATAGGAGGACTGATGATGGAACGAAGAGATTTGATATCATTTCCTATTAAACCTAATGAAAAAAAGGTTTAAAATTAAACTGTTTAGGAAATTATCCTTTAATTTACAGATGAAAGAAATTAAAGTAATTTTAAGCAAATACTGTAATTCTAATTAAAGTAAAATCTAAGCTAAATACAAGTCTCATTTACCTAAAAATTATTTTCCTGAAATTTCTAAAGGCTATATATGCAATAAAACAACATAAATTTTTTAAACATCAATTTCTAAATCACATCCTTTGAAAAATATAGATTTACCCCAATCTCTGCCACACCTACAATTCCATAATAGAGCTGCAGATTAAGAATTAATGCTCATAAAAATTATCTTAAGGCAGTATATCTTGAACTAAAGAAAAATATAAAATGCAGTCCTATAAGCCTGCATTGTCAAGAGTTGAAAAGATAAGCACTCCTAACAGCTGATGATGAATTTCTGTACAACTTGGAACTACCTTCCTTCAGCAATCCCAAGGACAAAATACCTTTACAGTCAGGCTGGGAGGTGCTACTGAACAGAAGCTACTATAATAATCTAACACTTCTAAAAGGCCAAGTAGCATTTCTGGAATAAACAAGTCCATAATGTGTTACTCTGTTTAACTCTATGTTAGCCAGAAATGTACTAGAAAATCAATTTACAAAATATTATATTTTATTGATAACATTAAAACAACAATGCACTTACATTTATAAATTTAATCTAGACCTTCCTGCTGTTTAAACCAGTTTTCCCAAATTTCTATAATAAGAATTGTATTATATTTTGGAAACCTCATGGAGATTTGAAGATGGAAAGATAATCTGTATTACTACAGATAATTTTGCATGAGCAAAACACAGCAACTTAGATTCACATCAATAATGCAGGCCATTAAATTCACATGCCCTTACAAGTCACAAAGACAATCAGTATTTTTACTCTATTTTTCTCATGTGACAAAGATGGGTAATGAGAAGAACAAAAGAATGAAACTAGTTTCATCAAGTCTCCCATATGCTTGCTTACTTCAAACATAAGAAGAACTTTCAGAATTGGGAGCAGTCAGTTCCTTGGGCTCCCAGCTTTTATTTTTTCTATTTTTTATTTTTTTCATAGAATTTTTATTTTATTTTCAATATACAAAATAAATCTATTACCAGATTGTAGATACAAAATAATTAGCCATTTACATGCAATAAACATTAATGTTTCAAGAAAAATGATTTTAAATATTACTGAGACTATACACACACAGTATAATATCAGTTGTAGGCAATATTAAAAAT